TCACAATTGCGGACTTGGCCGTCGTATTGTAAACCTGCCCGTCACAATTGCAGACCTGACCGTCACAATTGCATATCTGGCAGTTGCAATTGTATATCTGTGTTGAATTTGAATTTTTTTTTCTTGGCCTTAAGCTATTGCGGACCTGGATATTGCTGAAACAGTGACATTTTGGTCAATCCGGGAAAGAAATGGTTAAAAAACCAATTTGAATGAGGAAAATGGTCATTTAACTCGGTAACTCCTTAATTTAAAGATTAAAAATGCATCAGGTTTCTATTATTGATTTAAGCATCTATTATGTTCATGTTCTCTATTTGAACCTGAATATATTATTAGTACTACTGCTACACTTAAGTATCATCAGTACAAAAGACCATTGTTTTTTGTGTTCGGTTTGTGTTTTAAGCTTCGATTATTGTAAGCAATACTGTGATTTTCTATGATAGCTTTACATTCCCAAATAAAATGTTGCTTCAGCTAGTAAAAATCGTAGCAAATTTGTAAAATATACCATTATTTGAGAAATTAGCTTAAATGATCATTCCTCTCATTCAAATTGGCCTCCTAATTTTTTCATTCCCAGATTGACCCAAATATCACTTCATCCGCAATACCATTGTGGACATAGCTAAAAGACAAAAAAATATCAAATTCAACGGGTTTACCGCCATAGTTACGGACGTGGCTGTCATAATTGCATATCTTGTCATCACAATTACATATCTATGTTAAATTTTTGGTGTTTAGCTAGGTCCACAATATTGTAGAAGTGGTGACATTTGGATCAACCTGGAAGAGAAATAGTTAGGAGGCCAATATGAATGAGGTAAATGATCATTTAACTCAATGACTCTATTATAAATCATAGCTAGAGAAGAAGATTGAGGAGAGAGATTTAACTCAATGACTCTATTATAAATCATAGCTAGAGAAGAAGATTGAGGAGAGAGAGGGAGATCCTTATTAATTGAATGAATCAGCAAGAAACAAAGATGCCCTATTTATATACCGACTAATACTTAATTAGCCACCAACTAATTACCCTAACAAAATATATATATTAATGTAAGATGACAATTATACCCTTATGATCTAAAAAACGCCCCCTCAAGATGGCCATGCATAATAAATTTTGTGTAATGCCATCTTGGACTGTAATGGCTTTAGTTTTAAAGATGTAAAGCCTTGGTAAACATATCTTCGAGTTGAAAATCTCCATCAATTTGACTATCTTATCTAGACTTTTTCCCAAACATAATAACAGGCAATCTCTATATTCCTTGTTCGTTCATGAAATGTAGGATTTGATGCAAGTTCAAGAGCACTTTTGTTGTCAAAAAACAACAAAGTAGGAGCTGTGGGAATAATATCAAGATCATGTAGTAACCAACCCAATTCCATAGTTTCATTCATAGCCCTATACCCTGCCTCAGTTGATGATCAAGAAACAACAGACGGGATTTTAAGATTTCCATAATACTAATGAGTCGCTCAAAAATAAACAAAAACTTGTTGACCATCTAGTGTCAGACTGTTAGCTCCCATTCCATAATTATATTCAAAGAATGCTCGGATTTGGGTTGATGATTGAGCAGATTGAAAGATTCCTTGACCAAGCTGCTATTTTATACAATGAAGGAGATAAAGAGTAGCATTCAAATGGATATTTGTTGGAGATGAGATGAGATGAGCTTGGCAACTTTGTGTACAGTGAAACAAATATTAGGTCTTGTAAAGGTAAGTATAGAAGACAGCCTACAAGCTGTCTTCCACAGGATGAATGTTTATGCAAAGAGTCTCCACTATCAACAGAATGGTAGAAACGTGAAACCCTAGGAACATTAGATAGTTTCGTAGCAAGCACACCAATATCTTTTAGTAACTTCAAGGCATAGTACATTTGTCAAAGAAAGATTCCACACTCTGAATGGGCTACTTCAAACCCCAGGAAATACTTCAATTAATTATAATATCCTCAAACTTAGAAAAGGTCTTTCAGCTGAGATATTTTTTAATTAACCTCGATATCCAACTGAACTCGTTATGTTAGCCGACTAATCTCAGGGATGACCATCTACTTTGTGGATAGTCTGAAGTCACCGCATTTGAACCTCCGTGACCATAAGAGGATTTTTATTCTTCATTGAATTTGAATCTGAGACCTCCAAGTACTTTTAACATTTGGTCACAAGAAATTTTATTAATAATTGAGTGGAGGAGGTTTATTTAGTCATCATATGGACCAATAACAATTTTAATGTATCCTAAACCTTTAATCACAAACAAATAGATTAAAAAAGGTTAACAAATGGAGCTCATCTATACTAGTTGATTAATTAATTAGGATTGGATCATGAAAACGTTATTATATATTATGCATTAACTTCATTGTGGAAATTAAGGGTAATTAACTTTATGAAACATTATCATTCCTCTATCAAATGAATAAAAAATAACTTGAATAAATACCAACATTTTCCCACTTGGTCATATATTTATGTGTGTTTTCTACAACTTAAAATTGATCAGTTTGTTTGATTTCATAATATATCTCAAATTCTCAATCATAAAGAATAGCTAAAGGCAAATCAACATAATCACATAATGATCATCATAATATATAATTATGAATACAACAAAATAGGTTTTACATAAGTAATCCATTCATACTATCCATAATAAATCATATATCGTGTACCCAATTAAGGAAAAAAGACAAACTTTTAACATAGTCTGAAACACAAAAGGATGATCTTTGTTAATATAGGTTGTCAAGTAATCCGTAGAAGAATTTGGTTGACAAACCTTCCATAAGCGGATTAGACTAACCATATCATGCGTATAGATTAGAATATACTCAATGGCAATAGTTTCACTTCAACTTTCTTTCAGACATTCGATTACCATATGTAGAAATATAAATAAGTTATGCTTAAATTCATGTTGTTGGTGAAATTAATAACAACACTTTTACCATAATATATATAGTCTTAGCTAAAAATGTATTACAATGTGGATTTTGGTCACCTTTACACTTAGTGAAGTAGAAATTTAGCTAACCAATCATCTCAAGGTAATCAAATATTCAATTTAGTTCTTTAGTCCCTCACAATACTTTTCTTGCAACTTCTCGATAGCATATTCCTTGATTGGACTAGTAATGTTCAAGCATGCATTGTCAACTTCTCTATACGACCTTAAGTATATAATTAACCTGGCTTGTTTTGTTAGATTAATCTCGATTTAAAATAGTATGTATTCATGGTGTGAATTCTCAAATTATCAATAAAACTTTGGTTGTTTTAGCATATCGATCCAACATGTTTAACCTTAATGATGGATGCAATATAGAAGCAACTTGTGTGTTTCTTAAGTACTTTTAAACAATATATGAGGTCTTTGAAAAGATTAGAAGTTCCAATATAACTCGTTTTAGTACACTATAATCACATGTGATGTTTTTGCAATCTTAATTCTTGAATGAACTCTTTTGATCTCATATGACATGCTTCAATCTTTTCTTGCTAAAAGAATGTGGTCAACATACAATACAAAATGGCAAAATTTATCCTCGCTTAAGGCATATACGCTATTAATTTTCTTTACGTTGAAATCTACTCATAAGTTCACTAAGGATCGGTCCTTTAAAAAATGCCTGGTTACATCTGTTTTGGTCCTAAAAGTATGGATAAAGCTCAGATTCTAATTGAATTTATGTACTGTATCATAATATAAGATGTGTATAATTGGACTAACACAAGGCAATTAATACAATCTAAGATCATCTAGCAAATTGGAATAGAATATATATATATATATATATATATATTATTAGCTCGGAAAGATATAGAGAGAGCAGTCAATTACATTGACATGAGAAAAGTGTTGATTTATCCAATTAAACTAGTTTTAGTAGGAATGTATGATGAACAAAATGAGCCATATCTTCACAAGGATGGAAATTATATGGGATTCCGAGCTTTAGGGGTAGCGGGACAGGGATGGGGGTTTATATACCGAAGCAAGGTTGAGGATGACACTATCCGTCTCTAATCCAACCCGATTAAACTTTTTATTTTCTTAAATTTGTATGTACATATATATATGGGTGGGTGGGTCGGTGGGTCGGTGGGTTTGTATATTTATATATTGGGAAAAGTCCCAAAAAAAACCCAATTTTTTTTTTCATTTTGGATGAAAAAATTATTAAAGTTTTTCATTTTGGATGATTAAGTTCTTGAACTATTTTTTTGAATGAAAAAACTATTAAATTTTCAGATTTTGGATGATTAAAATCCTGATTTAAAAATACCCATCAAACTTTTACTAGTTGGTTAACGTAACTTTTTTTGGGTTAAAAAGATGTAACTAACTAATTTTTAAAAGTGCTATGATTTACTTTTTTAAAAAATTGTTCAGAGACTTAATTATTCAAAATGAAAAGTTTAATAATTTTTTCATTCACAAAATAAAAAGTTTAATGATTTTTTCGTTCAAAAAAGTAATTCATGGACTTAATCATTCAAAATGAAAATTTTTAATAGTTTTTCATTAAAAAATAGTTTAGAAATTTAATTATTCAAAATTAGGTTTTTTTCGAACTTTTTTCTTAAATATTTTTGTTATTATCTTTATTATTATACAACAAATAATTTGATAAATTAATTTAGTGATAATTTGTGTGAATATTAAAATATATATATTTTTTTTATCAAAGGAGAACCCAACAAATTTTCCAAAACCGTTAGAAAGGAGGAGATGAGGCTGGGAATGCATTACCCGCCCGGTTTTCATCCCGACTGTTCACTGCATCTCTCTCTTCCCGGAACTTGCTAATAAGTCATGAGATTACAATTAAAAAAAATTCAGTTGGTTGCTGTGGTGTGGTCACACCACCATTACTAAATTATTTTCTTCCAATTCTTATGAGCTAGTTAAGTAAAAATCTATTGCGATCCATAATACAATATAACAATTTGTTGTGCTACTTATAGCAGCATGAAGTCGGTGATTGCACGATACAGAAGAAGTAAGGATGAGCAACAATTGACGAACCCAACCTCTGATATCAAGGTAATCTTTAGGGTTCCAATTCTAACTAACTGGAATTGTTTTTTATTAACGTGGATATTCGATCAGCTATACCAGCCGATTAATCTCAGCTTTGCGTGTCACCTGATTCATCACATTTGAACATCGGTGGCTACAAGGAGATTTTTATTTCTGGGAGTCTAGGCATTTTTGACCTTCGGAGCCTAAGCTCAAACCAATCGGCACCACCGTTGTGGTTACTAATTGGAATTTTGGATACATCTTCTTTGTCCCTCAACTTGTATATTGGAATTTACATTGTCTAATAACTTCACATGTAGTTAGATAAATCATCTAACTATTTGTCCATCATCTAAAAAACATGTTTAAACAAAGATACAATAAATGATTGCAGTGGTTAAAATCAATAAAAATGTGTAATAATAACTTTTAGTGAATAACTATACCACAATTCTCTTAAAAAAGCCTCAAACAAATTTTATAAAAACCAAAAATATACAAAACTAAATTGTATGAAATAAGAACATACAAAATTGCATCTGATCTTTCAGGCCTTACCAAAATAGCATAGAAGAACTAGCTTTTTTCAGGCCGACCCAAGCGCAAGCCTAGTCTTAAGTCCACATCTGATCGTGCACCTCTATTTTTTAGAGTGTAGCAACTCGTCCCACATGGATATTCAAGTGGGGTTAGCGTTGTTACAATCTACCCTATATGGATAGGAAATAAGATTTTTGAGAGCTCATAGGCTATAATTTGTTTTTCTGAGTGTCCCGAGCTATGTTCAGACTAATCCTGGAAAACTGCGACCGTAAAACATCAACCGTGATAAACTCAGTGGCTACGATTGTTCTAGACACCTTGAATTAAACTTAGGACATAAGGGATATTCCACCATATCCCCCCTGGACCTCAACTACTACGCCACAACCCTTGTGGTTAGGCCATAATTTGTTGGTAACCAATAATTTTCTACTTTTGAGTTTTGGGAATTTATAAATTGTATTAGATGTAATCCTTATACCATGGAGATAATAGGGAAACCTTATGGAAGACGATTCCTTGGAGAGTATTCATAACGTCTTAGGTAAATTCTACATTGCGATGAAGGAGGATGTTGGATAAGCACAAACCTTATTGAGGACGATAAGTCCTTAGGGACTGTTTGTAACAACTTGCGCCATTGTGATGAACAAGGAGGAAGTTGGATGTCTGATGAAAACGACATGAATAGTGAAGGAGTTTGTACCGGCTCATTCAATATAGATGGTATAGGCTTTGGGATGTTACATTTGGATGGTTCAAGTGTTATCTTTAGGAAGTGCTCAAGTAAAAAGTTGTTAGAAACCCATTATGTTGCCATTATTTGGACCACCAACACACAAGACATGTTGCATGCTGCACCAAAATTTGTTACGCTACGATTGGCATTCATGAATGCCTTTTGTTGTGACGTTATTCATTTTTTTCATTTCGCTTACATTCATCTATTTTCAGTGTTTTATATCTTTTAAAATATTATAGCTTCTTTCTCTAGTCAACAACTCCATATATCATTTATTGCTTCTTCTCACAACATAGCCTACAAGCAGCTATGATCAATATATGTTGTCCAACTTGAGAGTCTATTGAGATGATAAAATTAGGATAAAATTAGGGTTTAGCTACGGAATAATAGATGCCTAATTCTCCAAGTGAAGTGAAGTGTATTTTGAGGTTTCCCAAGACTTACCTACTCTACTACACATTCAATGTTATCCTCAGATGTATAAATTCAATTAGCCCTAAAACATTAAAACTTAAAAACAACACAATGATATAAGAGGAATTGATAAAATGTCATTTTAACATATTTGGGATCGTTTTATTACTAACTAAATAATTAGTTAAAGAATAATACCACATAAAAAGTCAAAGAATAATCTTCTTCCCAATTGGTGCAAAGACTGAAACTAGATCACATGGTAAAGAAGCCTATTGTTAAACGGTGCCTAAACATCTTGGTCTGCTTGCGGGCGCACAACTTATTTGCTCGCGGCCGCGACAAACATGCATTTTGAGGGAAAATATTTTTTGGGGAGGTGCTCGTGGGCGTGAGGTTTTAAAGGGTGCGGATGTGAGTGCGACCACTGTTCACATCTCCGCAAAAATGACTTTTCAGTAGATTTTCCCCCTATTTTAAAAAAATTGTGTCCCTTCTGAAATTCCTCACCTTAGGCCACGAAAATCAGATTGCTTTTGCTTGGAAGGGTCAACTTTGCCAACTACAACTTTCACCAAAATGGGTTCTTCAAGATTACACTCCGTTCCCATTTGAGTGCTTTCTCAAAATAGCTAGAGCTCCCACCATAAATTCCCAGCTGAAGAACATGTTTAGAAATCACCCATTTTATCATTTCTATCTTCAAATACTCACATTCACTATAGTTGTAATTCTTCTCCTTCAAAAAGCATTGTAATCTTCATCTTTCACTAGTGTATTTCTCTCGGTGGTCTCCTCACCCGTGGTTTTCTCCCAATTTGGGTTTCCACGTAAATCTTGGTGTGTCTTCTAACTCTATCTCTTTACTTTGTGTTGGATGCATATTTAGTTGGTAAATCATCATATTTGTATGTTTTGGAAATTTTGTCTTGTACACTAAGAACACCCTTGAGTGTTCAAGCTAGGGATTCATTGGGATCACTAACTGATGGGCCGTGAAACCACAGCCACAAACAACAATCAGGACTAAAAGCAAGTATACAAATAGTCCYAATATCGTCTTTCAAGTAATAAAAGTGGTACAAGTACCGGATATCGTCCACAGGGATCGTAGTAAAAGTTTAAAAGAAAGTAARGTTAAGGAAATGATTTCAGAAGGCGATTTCGAAGACTTTGATTAGAACAGAGTTAACACAACTAAAAACAGGAGATAACAGAATATAAAACAAGCTAGGGTGTATGACTTTTAGGGTGAGAAATAAAATTTATTTTCAGTCGACCAATGCTGTCAAAATGCTACAGCATGAAACCATGCTGACAGATTSSYAYAGCATGCAATCAGTAACAACTATTTTTACCAATTACTTTGAAGGTATTCCTCTCGGACTTCACCAATGCACTGATATTATAGCTTTCAACCCATATCTCT